GTTACATTTGTACTCGCGGACATCACAAAATATTGTATAAAACATCACATATATCATAAAATTAAAAAATAAAATTAGTGAATTAATTAATTAGAGTCAAATAACACAGAAAAAAGATGCAAAATAAAAATATAAATAAAAATAAAAAAAATAAAATGAAAACCAAAATAAAAAAGTATGCATGAAACATAAAAGAGAAAATCGAAGTAAATAGAAGAACAAAGAAAAATAAAAAACAAAGAAGAATGAAATGCGACATAATAAAAGAAAAAAGAAAAAAGCAAATAAAGAACAAAAGAAAAATAAAAACGCACAAAAGAAAAAATAAAATAAAATAATAAAAAGTAGAATAAGACAACACAGAGAAAAAGAAAAAGAAAAAGAAAAAAAGAAATGAAGAAAAAAAAAAAAACTCACCTGGGCCGCACGCGAGAGCGTAGGTGGTGCGGCGGACGCACCGACCAGTCGGCAGCCAAGATTGGCGGCCGTTTCGGCCCTATCGTCAGCTATCACTGTTCTCGCGCGGGCCCACATGTCAGCGGCGCGGCCTCCACAACCTCAGCTCCGGAACATTGCTGCCTCCGTCTCCTTGCAAAAACGTATTGCAGCATGTACATGCTCAGCATGTGATATCTGCACCGTCCAAAACAGCTTTGAGATTCATGTTGTACACTCTATTCAATGTGAAACACACTCTTTTCAATATGAAACACTACTGTTTTGGATGGCACATATCTCAATAGGCTATGTAGATAACACATGCTCAGCATGTATGCACTCAAAAATTGCTTTCGTCTCCTTGCGTACGTACCGAGGTCTCCGCCGCGGCAGCGCCTCCTCCCTTCCCTCGCCGCTGCCACAGCCACGCCAGAGGTGTCGGATGCCGGCGGCATCGGTGTGCGGGCAGGCGCACCGCCGCTCCTGGTCTGAGGCGCAGCGGCCACGGTGGCACGCCTCCTCTCTTCTCTCGCCATCTTCTCCACCTACCACAGCACAGTCCCGGTCGAGGTGCCGAGCACTGCTGGCAAACACCGAATCGAGGTATATTTGAGATTCCAATGTCTATTCTGCTATTGCATCAGTTCAACGATATGCGTCTTTGGTGTGGTACTGCAATGTGCAAACTATCAGCCAGAAAGCTATACCTCAGGATTTCATCTTCCATTGCAGCGAATAGTTAGCAGCAGACTTTTATCTATGCCTGACATCACATCCACATCTGTTTATTACAACGATGACAGCTTCATATTTCTTGGCAATAGAGCTCTATCGGATGACAATCATTGTGGTAATTATATGCGTTTATGTTGTATTTTTCTTTCACAAACTTCAAAACCATTAGCAGAAGCAGTTCTACTGCTTGGCTGAAGGATTAAACAAGTATTTATTCGAGACCGAGAATCCGCAAACATGTCAATTACTAGATGATTGGTCGGTAGTAACAATTGGGTTTAAACTGAAACTTGTTGTACCTGTCAATCCGAAGTCCGGATATTCAACATCCGATACATGTCCATCTGTCTGAATCCGAATACTCAAATCGCATATTTATGATGAATTCGATATCCAATCGTATCCTATCCTGTGCATGATTGACATTATCCGGCCAACCAGAAGTGAGCTTCGGCGAGGACTCGAATCCGGATGCAAACAAATATGAAAACAAATATAATATCAATGATATTCGAACTGGGACCGAGCGCAAGAAACAGACACGGGCGAGTCATATCCGATCTATTTTCATCATTTCTTGGATGTATTTGTGAATTGTGCCTTCCTTTTTTTAACAGCTTAAATATTACTTCTTCTCCCATGATTCTCCTTTAGCAATAGAAGATTGAATAGGATATCGATGGAGAGGCTCGATTCCCGAGGCCAAAACACTCTATTTGGATGGAGTTGGGCGAGTATTCAACAGCCGCAGGTTAGGGCGGGTGTGGGGCAGGTTATACCCCGTTAGCAGAGCATAGGTAGGATGCTAATATTTTTCATCGGTGGCTAGCGGCTTCCACGGTACCGTTCGCGTCAACTACAAAGTTTAAACCAAGATCTATAATTTTTATTTAGGAAGTTTTTCCATCCGAGGTTTTTTCGAATCCGTAGTTTTGCATGATAAGATGATTTCAAATCAAAAATTGTCAACTTTTTCTCACTTTTGAAGATCTACAATTTTCCTCCAACATTCCTCCAAACCATTCAAATTTCCAACTACAAATTTCATAACCTATCAAAAATTCATTTGTTCATCCGGGGTAAACAGGCCCAACGACAATCTTTTTCTGTACCGGGTCACCGGCAACTTCGACAGGTGAGTGAGTTGTGGCATCCTAACTGCACCCAAAATCAAGAACAAATAAAATTCCAGAGCTGTGTCCTTCCGCGTTCACACGCTCATTGCTGTATGCTGTGTAGGAGTTGAGGCCTTGAGGAGCCTAGGACTGGAGGGAGTGAGGGACATTGGCCACTGGCAATGGAGGTGCTGCTGTCTGCAGTTGCTAGCGACATCGTCAGCAGGCTGGTCTCCTTCCTCATCAGCAAGTTCCAAGAGGCTGGCTGTCTCCACCGACGATGACGTCGTCAGGCTGCAGCGTGCGCTGCTACGAGCCCGCGTCGTCGTCGAGGAGGCCGAGGCGCGGCAGGTCACCAACCGGGCCATGCTGCTGCAGCTCAACCAGCTGAGGGGAGAGATGTGCCGAGGCTCCTACGTACTCGACGCCTTCACGAGGCGAGCCATGGCGAGCCGGTCACCCGCCGGCTTGCCTGAGCGCCTGGAGAGTGGTCGCACGGGCGGGCACGGGCAGGTCGTCTCCATCGTGGTGAACGCCCTTGAGGCCGCGTTGAGCGACATGAAGGAGGAGTTCGTCGTGCTCCTCGGTGCGTGCCCCCGCCTCAACAGCCAGCCGTACTGCGCCTACCTGTTCATGGAGAGGTGCATGTTTGGCCGGCAGATGGAAAAGGAGCAAATCATTGGATTCCTGCTACAGCCTGAGCCTGCGCAAGATTTCGATGTCCTCCCGATCATTGGCCCTCACGAGGTCGGGAAACGGACGCTGGTCGAGCGTGCCTGTCTCGATGACAGGGTGCGAGATCACTTCGCCAAGATTCACCATCTCACAAGTGACGGTCTTGATCTACAGAGCCATGACGACCATGGTCATTATCAAGGCTTGATAGACTCCGCTTCCGCTGCAATATTCGTGATTGACCTCGCCGGCGGCGAGGAGGAGGAGGAGAGATGGAGAAGGTTCCGCTCGTCCATGCGCCGCCGCACGCGCCGGGAGAGCAAGATCATAATCATCAGCAGGACGGAGAGGCACTCGGCGCTAGACACAGTTCCACCGCTCAGGTTGCGCGCGCCGCGCCGGGAGGAGCTCTGGTACTTATTCAAAGCCCTCTCGTTCGGCGGCGCGGACCCGGAGGAGCGCCCGGAGCTGGTGCGCATCGCCATGGCGCTATTCGACAACATATCCCACCACGCACCATTCCTGGCGGCGAACAAAGTCGCAGCATCTCTGCGTGCCAACCTGAGCGTGCGCTACTGGCGCCGCGTGCAGAAGGTGTTCACCGGAGTGATGGAGCTGCAGCTCGGTGCCGCCGCCGGGGGACGGGTATTACTACCCCAGCGTGCCGGTGAAGGACGCGACTAGCGCTCCGTGCTTGTTCTACGGCAGGCGCAAGTCGACGGGCAAGGCACGGAGCGAGCTCCCCAAGGTGACGATGATGGAGGTCGTCGAAGGCGTCGTAGCCTGCGAAGAGAAGCGGTTCGACGTGCTGGTGTGGCAGTCCCGCATCCCTCCGTATGCAAGCTACGTCGTAACGTGCGACATGGAGGGAGGTGCCGACGTGGCGGTGGTGGTCGGCATGAAGATGAAGCAACGTCTGAATAAGAGGAGGAGAGGTCAACTGGTTTATGGCTTCGGCAGCAACAATAATGTAGGGGGCTAGGGGACGGAGACGACGATGGACATGGAATGCAACGTATGGTTGCAGGGAATGAAGGAAGCCAGAGGGGCCATGTGCGAGAATGAGAGATACATCGCGGCGTGCGACATGGACGGAGTCACGGAGCTCAACTGCGGCGGTTGTACTTGTACCCGGCCAGAAAGTTCCTTGGTAATAAGAGAAAGAAAAGTCAACAAGAAGCCGACACGGACAGAACTTAACCAGCTAATTGTTTGTTGCAACGCGTTCACTAGCGCTCGGACATCCGGAACGAGGCGTCCGTTCGGGCCCAGCTTGGACACCCACACCGCAACTCCCTTCGCCTCACGTCAAATCCCACTCCAGAGGCAGTGTCCGTCCGGACGGAGCACCTGCACCCGACGCCCGCCCGCATCGCATCCCGCGCCCCATGCCCGCTTGCTTTGCGCACCAACATCTAGAACCGTGCCCCTACGTCCGTACGTGAACCATGGTGGCACCCCCGTAGCAGCACCAGGCCTGCCGCGCCCATCCCGCGCGTCCTGACAGCAGCACCAGGCAACTGAAACGAATGAAACATAAAGATGAAACATTTGCAACATACAACTGAAACGAATGAAATATTTGAAATATGCTCTTGAAACATGCGTGCATAGCCATAGCAACATATGCAACATCTCGATCCACTTTTGCAACATAAGTCTGAAACATCTGAAACACATGAAAACAAATACTTGAAACAAGCATGTGCAGCCATAGCAATATATGCAACATCCAGATGAAAACACTTGAAACATGCGTCTGAAACAACGGAAACACTTTGAACATAGGCTTGAAACATGCATATATTGTCATTGCAACATATGAAACATCCCAGATCTACTTTTACAACGTCCAGATGAAACACTTGAAATATATGTCTGAAACGCTTGATACACTTGAAACACGGCGTCGCCGGTGGCCATGGCCTACCCGGTGAGGGACTACGGTAGCTAGCAAACTCGGGTTTAAGGGGACGTCGAGGGCAACGGCTGGCGACCTCCTGGTGGCATCGGGGTGGTGGTGGCGCTTTGCACGCCATGGCCGCGTGCCAACAAGGTGGATGGGTCGTGGAGGTGGACGTCCCGCGCGGCGTGGGATGGGGCGCGGCGCTGCGCGAGATTGGGGTGAGTGCGGCGCAAGATGGGGCGCGGCGGTGAGGCAGAGCAGGCGGGCAGACGGCGCATCATGACTGCTACGGACGGATGCACAATCGACGCTGCGCTGTGTCGCGAATGGGGAAAATATTCAGGACTAGAAGAACGGACTGTTGGACCCAACCGATACGCAGGCCTAGAAATATAGGAGTGTCCGGACCGATGTCCTCATCGATTGCAACTTGCAAGCGCTCGGACCCTGGAACCTTCTACATGTGAATGCTCGTGTCTTTTGAGTGAGCACATATGTAACTCCATATAGCTCCTAGAATCGACGCATTCTCAGCACCCCTGGTTACTGTTCATGTTCGTTCGACCAATTGGATCTCGCCGTATGCGTTTGATTTTGCACTGGCCCACCCAGCCTCCCGCATTCGCGTATTGCCACATGCTCTGTTCCGAGAGCTCGTGCGTGTCAAGACCTCCTTTTGGTGTCCTGTGATTGCTTGCTCCGTTTATGTAGTTGTTTGGTGATTAGGTCCGGCGCATCGCCTCCTCCACGATATTTTCCTCGCTCCCTCCATCACCTGCTCGTCTCTTTCTCGCTCCCTCCGTGGCCTCGCCCTGGATTCGCGCCCACGCCGCCCGGCGACACCGCTCTCTCCTCTCCCGCCGCTCCGCGTACGCTCGGTGAAACCCTAGCTGTTCTTCCTCGCCGGCCATGTCGGCTGCTCGTGGATGCGTCCGGTGGGCGCGCCCCCCGCGGCGGCGGCGTCTGTTGTCCCCATGGGCTCCCCCCGGCTACAGCGCCACCGGCACCCACCAGGTACGCCCACCCCTTCTCTTCTCTGCCTGCTGTGTGAAGCCGAGCACCCAAACCCTAGCTTTCCTCAACCTCTCATTTTCTGTGGCTCCATTTACCCTTAGATTTCGTTTGCTCATACTCCAGGATTTGTATATTCATGCTTATTTATTCTACCCTTTCTATGTTTGTGACTTCAATTGCAGGTAAACCCAGATTTGGAGATGGAGCTAAAACCGCAAGCACGACCTAGGCCATATCAACGAGCGTCAATAAGATGTTTGGGAATGGTAAGTTCATCCAACAGCCATCATGTCAAATCAATTTTGAAACAATCATTACTCTGTTAAAAGAGCTATACATGGTGAGAAAAGCTTACACCGAAGAATTTGCGAATAATTAGCATTGAAATGAAAATTTGATGTATCTGGTTGCACATGGCTGCTATGTGACCATGTTCAGAATGAAAATAGGCCTCTTGTATGAAATGGTCTTGCAATCTCTTGTTTAGTGTTTGTGAATTCCTAACTGAAGCTAATGCAAATTTTTAACCGCTAGCAAAATAAGTTTTTGCTAAGGATGTGTTTACCAATGTAAGCATTTTTTTTGCTCTTGCAGGGAGTAAAAAATTTGGCGATGCTTGGATGAGTCTGTGCTACCATTTCTAATTTGATTTAATTTGTAATTCTGCAGGACTTGCAAAGTATGCAATTATTGTGCTACCTTCTGGTGCTTCTATCAAATTTGGTAGCATTGCAGATTCAGTTTTCTGGACTTACTTCTCCAATCAAGAGCAACAGGTCAGGGTATGTCCGATTTCACTTTCCTTCTGTGCTCACTTATGCAGTTAAATATTTGTACTGTAGGTTCTTTATAGATTATAAACGTTACCATGCTACTTCACATTGATGAATTTGCTTCCTTTTAGTTTTTTCTATCTACGTTCCTCTTTTCCCATCATAGATTAGGATTTTGCCATCCGATGGATGATAATATGCTCAGGATGTTTTCATACTTTCTTGCTATATGTTCTCTTCCAGTACGTGTAGGAGCGATGTCTATTACCGGTGCACCACCTTCGTCTCATATGTGTCATGCTCATGGTCAGATTATTTTACAAAAGACACATTCAGTATCCAATGATTTTTTTGCGCTGACATGACAAAAAAGGTGAAGTGTAGTTATTTATTCCTCAACTTTTGAAGATAGCAATAATTTGTACTGAATTTACCTATTGTTACTTCCTAAATGGTTGACTTTCCACGATCCTTCCAGATCATCCTACCTTACTAGCTTACTAGCAATAATTTGTACTGAATTAGCTATATGCTTAGGTTATTTTTTTCTATAAAAACACCACTTATTAGTACTTCATCGTTGTTTACAGCTGTTTGCTGATGCATGGGTAAAGACAGCATATGGTAACTGGATATATGTCATTCGATATGATGACAAAGGTCTATTGACACAGACTGCTCTTTCCTTCCCTGTCCCTATTTTTTCTTAGAAAAATAAGCGCTACTTACCAACTTCTGTAAGTCTGTTCTTTTTCTTCCTCCTTTGCTTTGCTTTGCCTTTGTACGGTCCCCTACAAAAACTCCCCTTTATTTCCTTTGCCACATCATGCCTCTATCCTTTGATTTCCTTTTTTTTATGTATGGATTGGTTTTGCTTACGCATATGGTTCATGTTGTGCCAGTAAAATCTGAACATGTGTCTAATTTATATGATTTTTATACATTTGCGTTGACTTTAATCTATTCGTGTGTTTTTCAGTTTTTCTTATATTAGTTTGCTCCCTTAACACAGGAGTAATTACTTTTTGCTTCCTTAGTTAGCATGCCATTGTAAGTGTTACAGATTAGTTAACTTATGATAAATTACTCTCATTGTCCATGGTTCGTAGTTTTAAGTAAGCACTTCTATATATGTATGCCTAAATTCGTTCATGTACAATATGTCCATTAACTATTTATAATGGAGGCACATCATCTCTTACAGCCCGTGTCTCAAATTGTAGGCCACAGGTTATGACAAATAACACATTTTCTAATTTCGGTACCTTAGATCTTAATGGGATAGGTCCAGCTACATACCTCAGTTATTGATTTAACCCTATTTATCTTTATCATCATTGATTGTTGCCCTTTGATCCATCCTACTTGTCTAAAAAATGCTGATGGTGAATGGGAACTTGACAATTTTCATATTGATACATACTTGTTACTATATTTTCAAAGGTTGCTTTTAGCGCTCTGATTTCTATAAATGAATTCCCATTCATATAGCTAGCCACCTCATTTTACAGCTTACCGCATCTATCATCTTGGCTTCCGTAAATGTTGTTGTTGATGTGTATCTTTTTGGTCCAATGAAAATTCAACTTTATGATCTAGGGACTGCAATTTCTTTTCAATGGTTTCAAACTTATCTACATAGCCCATTTCAATAATTTTAATTATAATACGCCTTTCCTGATCTGTAGTGAGGTCTGTCCTGAGAGATTCAATATTCACTGGTAAACTCAGGTCCTAGCCATTTATCCCAATGCCTAATCCCCACATCAATAAACCTTAAGCCTACGTAGTTTGTTGTTAGCTTTCTATTCCATGCTCTTTTTCGTTTTTTTATTCAATGGGGTTTTGATTTATTCCCCATCAAAGAAGTAACACACTACGAGTACTTTATGCCTTCCTATCATATGAGGTTATTGACAGATATATGAACCTGTTCTAATGTTTATGTCAGGAATTAGATATGTTTAGAAGAATTTCTTGTGGTTTTCAGTTCTGTAATTTTTTTGGTTACAACCATATATGTTTTTCTGTGCTCATTTCATATATAAGCAAAGATCTGCTCTTTTTCCAAGGCATTATGACTCTGCTTTAGTAGTCATTTTCTAAACTACACTTACAAGCTACACAGAATATTTGCTATGGCATGACAATGGCATATAGGAAATAAACATAATGCGATACTTCTATGTTAAGCATAATTTAATCCTACATATTATGGACTTAATCCTAAGTGATCAGGAAAGGTATACAACATCAACGTAATACCTGAATTAATCATGCTGATAGCCAAGAGTTCACGTTTTCCTCTTATCTTTATAGATGCACTGACCTTGTTGCTCATTTGTTCCTTTCAGTTATGATTTCAGGGACATGGTATAAATTGTACTATATTAGATTTATACTTAATGCAGGTTATGCTATGTTCTTTATGATATTCAGTATTCAACATCATTAAATCTAGCCTGGTTCTAGGCATTATCCCCTTGTTTTGCATTCAGTGATGAATGAAAAATCAGAGATTCATTTTCTGTTGATTTAAATTCATGTTTAGATTCTGCTGTTGATGATAGAAATTGGGTTTATCAGCTTTTTAAGGAAATACAGACCGCACTATGTTCTATACTCCTTTAAGATGTAGACAATGAGCGTGTTACCTGAATGCTTCACTTGTGCTTTAGAAACTGTTCCTTACTGTACCAGGAGGTAAGTTAACTACTATATGCTTTGATTTCCATCTTTCGTAAGCATGGACACAACCGACCCTGTCCAAGAATATTGCAGAGCCATGTTCACTTTAGTACAAACATTCAGTGATAATCCATGGGATATGTTTCTTCTACCTTTGCTGATTTATGTAAGGTTGCCTATATGGAGATTAATATTCGTAAAACTATGAATATTTGATTTCTCAAAGCCTTTATGAAACGGAAATTTTTACAATAATTTCCACAACAAATAGGCAAAACTTCATACCGTAAAGATTTGTTTCTTCTTTGTGGTAGTTATGGTACCTAGGATGATCTGAACCTAAATAGTTTGTTACTATATATCTTGTGTAAAATACTACTTCGCAAATTGCAAAATTATGTATCATTTTTCTAGCTATTATTTGTATTGCCTCTCATTTTCTGCATTGTGCATTGTACAATGTGAAGTTTATCTATGCATTTTACATGTCAATCAAAGGTAATTAGCGCCCCACTGATTCCATTTAGACAGACCCATGTAACCATATGGTTTGTGATATAGGTTCCAGAATCCTTCAAGGTCTGTAGTCACTTTCAAGGCTATCACAGATAAGGGTCAGACTCCTTGCCGATTTTATACTTCTTTGGTTGGAGTCCAAGAGTCTAAGCATAGGAAAGTTTCTGTTTGGACAGATGGTGCAAATGCCTTCTTATTTCCTATATATATTTGTACATGCAACTTAATCATTATTTGTTCACATCAAATTAATGTTCAGACAAATACTATTTTTGTTTAAATGATCGTTGCCAAGCTGTGTGAAAAAAGAAGCGCATAACTATAACTTTACAAGCGTACAAGCCTCAGATTTGGAGGCGTTTGAGAGCCTCCAATTATTGTTCTCATATTATACTCAACTGATTGGCAAACTGTGCCACGACCTTACCTGTGTACCTGTCATTGGTCTGTGCTTCACTCTGTAGTATGCGGCGCGGCGAAGCGCACCTCCCGTCGTAGTGTTCTCTATGCGCTGTGCTGCTGCATCATCTCTCACAGTTGGTATTCTTCATAAACTATTTTATCGAGTAGAGAAAATAAAAAACTGATTGGTCTACTGTGCTATGGAGCATTACTCGGTCCCGAACCGTAAGTTGTTTAAGTTTTCTTATACGTCCAATTCCTCTATTTTTTTGAGTTTATATATAGATCAAAAATATAAAATCGTCTAGCCATAAAATTATTTTTTCATTTATTTGATATTCTAGACTTTAGTGTACTTTTCTATAGACTTAAGTTAAAAAAATGTTTCACTCAGATCAAAGCTAAAACCATTTATAATTTTAGGATATAGGCTAAAAATTAGCACTGAGCTTTGGACGTCAAATAGAAGGACTAGACATAGGCTATAACTACGGGCTGATGGTGATTAGAGCTTATTAGCCCATATAGCTTATATTTAACCCATTATCTTAAGAGATGGGCTAATGTTTAGCCATAGGATCCAAACACCCTTTTAAAATGGAGGGAATTCTTTTTTGGAAAATAATCCGTCTTACCTTCCCTATTGCGCAAGTTCATTTTTTCTCTATCAATCATAAAACTAGATTTTTAGACTCCGCTTTTAAAAACATCTGATTTATCCCTCTGTGCAGTTTATCACATCAGTCACGGGAGAGGTAAATCAGCCTTTTGCGATAGTTTAGGGGTCAATTAGACTTTATCCAAAAACTGTAGAAATATTTTTTAAAAAGATTATCCAAATATTTTTCTAGAATAAATATGCATTTTAAATACTAAATACTGACTTACTAGAAAATTTGTTTTAACTTAGAAAAATATCAAACTAGTTTCATATTTTTTTTCTAAAATCATGCATCTGTTTTTGTTCCTTGCAATTATTTAGATCTTATATGGTCTCCTAAGATCTGAAACCAGGTCAAATATGAACCTAAGGATGGCAGACCAAGACAAATCCTTATAGGCTGTATTGAATCACAACACAACCTGCTATGTAAACTGATTTTTCTTAGCTCAACAATAATGCATTGTTTATCTGTCGAGACGTGCAGGGAAATTTAAAATAAGAAAACAATTCAGGTTCTGATTGTATATATTAACATATGTATGATGTGTTTTAACTTTGTAGCAATATTATCTTCTTCGCTGAGAGACATCACAACGATGACTTGTGTAGATTTATTGGACCATCAGCGGCAGCCAGCGTGCTACTTCTTAGACTCTCAATTCTATACTCTCAATTCAATGTCTGCGACTTGGCAAGCAACATTGGACGCGATGTCGCCGTCATAGGTCTTCAGCACTACTTGAGTAGTATTTTTCAGCGAACGAATAGTATTTTTTCTCTCACAACAAATCAGTATAAGCATCAGTATAAGCCAGGGCAGCTCGGGATGTCACACTTCACGTGTTCTCTAAAATCATGCTCTATATTATGGTGCCTAGATCCTAGAAAATAGAGCATGATTTGGAGAAAAATATGAACCTAGTTTTATATTATTCTGAGTTAAAACAATATTTATAACTTTTTAATATGAGTCTAGAATTATATAACACATGTATTAGTGTATTATAAAATTTCAGAATTTTTTTTCGCCCACCATCATAATTACCGAAATTCATTAAATTTCGCCATAATTTTGAACCCTGGTCAAGAGACGCTTCTTGGGCTGAAGTTTTTATTAGTGAAAAATATATCTAGAGGATTTTCCTCTTACCAGCGAGAAGAAATGCATATTGGCCTTCACCCTGCCACTCTTCATGTTCGCCATGCATTTTGTGTTAGATAGCAGCAAAAGCCATCATGCTTGTAAAACGACGAAAACGAACCAGAGTGGGAACCGGTTGCGGCTCTCCACCTTCACACAGCCCACAGTGTAGCACTACGGATGACATTTGGAGCGAGCGAAACTACCCGGCGAGTCGGCGACCGGCCCCGGAGTTCCATTGGCAGCTCTGCGCCTGCGCCGTGCCTGCCGAGCGCGTCGGATCACGGGCAGCAGCCAGCAGGGCCCGCGCAAAGGAACCCGGGCCCGAGGCCGGGAGGACTGCGGTCGCCGCGCTCGGGTCGTGCGCGCGCGACGTCTTGCGCCGCGCGGACACCGAAGCAGGGTCGCTCGCTGTCGCGGCTTCATTTTACCGAGGATGAGTCTCCAAGAGACGGCTGGGAGTGGGACGACCCCTTTTGTGTTTGCATCTTGACGATTCCGTCCAACTGTCAAATTACGCTTGTGAAGCTGTGATACTGACAAAGTGACAAGTGACAAGTGACAAGTGCCAACTGCCAAGTGCCCTTAGTCTAAGACTCTGTGGATTCAGAATCAGCACCGATTCGAGCGAGCGCATCCACAAGCCCTCGTCGCCAAGCAAAACCAAGGAAGAATAGACACCTTGAGTGTTGTGCATCTACTGCCCTCACGAGTCATGCCCCCTGAAGTAGCTTATCCATGCTGGTTGCTAGCTAGGAGAGTGCAGCGCAATGGTCGGTCAGCCCCTGCGCACACTTTTTTCAGCTCTGGAAGTATCGCGCATCTCGCGATCGCGCATCTGATGCATGCCCAAGCATGTGAATTGCACAACAAGCATGGCACCATCTCATCAGCCCGGATTCCTCGATCACCTCGCCTTGCCTTGCTAAAGATCGATGGGTTGATCAAGTATGTAACTATACATTGACCGACACTACCGTTGCTTATTAATCTCCTATCTTCTACTGGCTACTGCATCTCGAATGGTCATTTGTTTAGTTGTGGCCGTCTCTTTTAATTGGTCACAAACACGAGTCAATGCTAGCTTTGATTTCAAGGACCATGTCTAAACAGTATAGTAAGCACATACCGCCATAAGGAACTCCTTTCCCCAGGGAGCGTAAAAGGGTTCACAGAGACTTGCCCCGCGTGCTCATCTTTCTTCCCCAACAAACTATACCTTGCTTGCCTCCCTTCGCGCTAGCTAGAGAGAACACGTACAACTGATACCTCTATATACACACGCCTCATGCTCATGGCAAGCCACTCCTCGCAAGCCGCATGCAGCTTAGCTTCAGCAATGGCGTCGTCTACGAGCGCTATCTGCTGCCCCGCCCTGCTGCTGACGCTCTTGGTCCTCATCACGGTGGCACGCCGTGCCGACGCCAGCGCCGTGTTCGCCGGCCTGTCCTTCGAGAGCCCAGGTGAGGCGGAGGCCTTCGAGGACGCGCTGCTGCGCCAGGCCTGCGTCAACGTTTCGTTCTTGTCGGGTGGCCGCGAGGCCTGCGCGTCGCGGCTCGACACGGCCCGCGGCGGCGCGGGGAGCGGCCCCGTGCCCGTCCTCCGCGCCGCGCTCCGCGACACGCTCGGCGAGGCCGTGGGCGCCGTGGGCTCCGTCCGCGGGCTCGCCTCGCTGTCCAACCTCGCGCGCGAGGAGATTGCGGTGCGTGACTGCGTCGAGCTGCTGGGATACTCCGTCGACGAGCTCGGGTGGGCGCTGGACGCCATGGCCGACACCGACACCGACGGCGGCGGCGGCGGCTCGGCGGCACGCCGCGCCGAGGACGACCTCCACGCGTGGCTGAGCGCGGCGCTGGGCAACCAGGACACCTGCGTGGAGGGCTTCCACGGCACCGACGGCCGCCTGCTGCGCCGCGTCGAGGCCGCCGTAGCGCAGCTCACGCAGCTGGTCAGCAACCTCCTCGCCATGCACAAGCGCCTGCGCAGCATCACGCCGCTGCTGCACCATGGGCCTCCCAATAAAAACAACGGCACCTCCGGCGGCGCCGGCGACGAGCTACCGCCGTGGGTGACGGACATCGAGGTCGACGGCGGCGACAAGGTCGAGGAGGAGGTCGTCGCCAAGCGCGCCCGCGCCGGCAGGATGTCGTCGACGCGCGTGGACGTCGTGGTGGCGCAGGACGGCAGCGGGCGCTACCGCACCGTCAGCGAGGCGGTGGCACGGGCGCCGAACCACAGCAAGAGGAAGTACGTGATCTACGTGAAGCGAGGGGTGTACCACGAGAACGTGGAGGTGAGGAAGAAGAAGACCAACATCGTCATCGTCGGCGAGGGCATGGGCGAGACGGTGATCTCCGGCAGCCGCAGCTTCTCCAGTGGCTGGACCACCTTCCGCAGCGCCACCTTCGGTAACTTCATGCTCTGCATACGCGATCGATCTTTTTCTAATTTCAGCTACGTGACCAGAAAAGCGCGCGGCGCAAAGAGTTACTTCGATCGGAGAGGCAGGATGCACGTGTTTGCATTGCAGCAAGCTATTACCCCATGCATGTTATTTAATCCTTGCTTCGTGTTAGCGAACAGTTTTCTCCATGTTCTGCACGACCTAAGGCTCTCCTTGTTTGTAGCTAATCTCAACCGTGATGTACCTGTATATAGGCGTAAGCCTTTGAGCAATACAACTTGAGTTGTCTGCCATTCGTTATTTCCCTCTTACACTTCGTTCGCATGCTTGCAGCGGTGTCCGGCGCCGGGTTCATCGCGCGGGACCTGACGTTCCGGAACACGGCGGGGCCGGCGGCGCACCAGGCGGTGGCGCTGCGCGTGGACTCGGACCGCTCCGCCTTCTTCCGCGTGGCCGTGGAGGGGCACCAGGACACGCTGTACGCGCACTCGCTCCGGCAGCTCTACCGCGACTGCCGCATCGCCGGCACCGTGGACTTCGTCTTCGGCAACGGCATCGTCGTGGTGCAGCGCAGCCTCGTGGCCACGCTGCCCCTGGCGCCCGGCCAGACGGGGAGCGTCACCGCGCAGGGCCGCAAGGACCCCAACCAGAACACGGGCTTCTCCTTCCACGGCTGCGTGGTGGAGGGCAAGTACCCGACGTATCTGGGCCGCCCGTGGAAGCCCTTCTCGCGGGTCGTCGTGATGGAGTCCTACCTGGGCCCTGGCATTCAGGCCCGCGGGTGGCTCGAGTGGGCCGCTGCTGGCTCAGGGGACCACAGCCCGGGCCTCGCCACGCTGTTCTACGGAGAGTACAAGAACTACGGGCCCGGGGCGGGCGTCGCGGGCCGAGTGAAGTGGCCCGGCTACCACGTGATCATGGACGCCGCCGTCGCCAGCCGGTTCACCGTCAGGCGATTCATCGACGGGCTCGCGTGGCTGCCCGGCACCGGCATCACCTTCACGGCCGATCTGTTCAGGAAATGACGACGGCCTGCGCTAATGCAGTTCGTTGATTGGTGGGTTACATTTTTTTTTTTTTGGAAGGAAGCACAAAATAAGGATATATTATTATATTATATTATATAAAAATTATAATTAAGTTGCTAACCACAAAATAAGGTATATTATAAAGATTATAAGTTGATTACTTTGGTGGGTAATTAGGGTTGTAATGTGTTGAGAAACTATATGTCTACAGTAAATGCTACTGTGTTATATTGGTGCTGTAGGATCCTAGATGTAAATTGATCTAGTATGTACAGTAGTCGTTTTATTTTTTGATCCATGAACTCAAATAGTCAGATGGGGTTGTGTCGCAGTTCTCCATCATATTCAACCAGGACATGTCAAAATCTTGTCTGTATGGTCGCTAAGCGTGTGTTTGGTTGTGAGGTCCACTGTGTACGGAACGATTCTAATTTTGCTGGTGTTAGAGTTTAAGACAAGCAAGGATGGATCAGTCCTTAAGGCAATATTCTCTTCAAATTTAGGTCGCCCCATGTCTTGAAATTGAGGGACGACTTTGTCTCCTATCAACAACATCCAGTTTGTCCTGCGAGAATGTATATGCACGACTCTTCCCCACCAACGCTCCTTTCAGTGTCCCCAATTGAGCCCGCAGTGGCATAGGTCTCGTGGCTTGGTGGAGCTTTCATCGCAGTGGCTCCTCCCCTCCTCGGTGGTCAGTGCTCTTCATTGCCCTTGATTGTGTGGCTGAGCTCCTCCCACCCCCATGCGTGGGGCTCAAGGTAGTATGGCTTGGCGACCAAGCAAGCTGTCGCGCCCCTTTTCCTTCTCCATTGTTTGAAATTCTAATCAGTATATTTAATGATGCAAACCTAATCAGTATGCATGAGCATATGGGACCTGTGTTTGAGAATCTAAAAAGTAGTAACATGAGTAGATGGTAAGGCAGATTCCATAAGCCTATTCAGTATGCTTTCTACGACCCTAATTACGATTACCATTGGAACCTTAATCGGTATGTACGTTGTGATCCCTAATCAGTATGGATACTTCAATCCTAAGTAATATGCATGAGTATACATCATTTGAAAATTCTAAAATGTAGAAACATGACCAGATGTTAGGCAAAAAAATTATAACTGCAATCAGTATGCTTACTGCATCCCTAAATAATATGTGTGTTGCAACCATAATCAGTATGGTGTTATGACCCCTAGTCAGTATAGATATTGCATCCATAATCAATTTACACGAGTATGTGGTACCTGTGTTTGAAAATTTCAAAAGACAGAAACATGAGCATTGCGGTAGGGCAAAACCCATAGCTCTATTTTGTATGTCTATGGCCACCCTAATCAAGATGTTGTAGGATCAAAATAAACGATTAGAGGGAGGTGAATAGTTATTTCTAAAAAATAATCGTAAGAGCTAGCCAATTTAAGTGCGGAAGTAAACTAACGGTCTAGACTCGACTATACCCCTCTATCTAAAATTAGATAGCACCCTAACAAAAGAGATAACTAATATGCTAGTAGGGCACCAAGCTAGGAGAGCACAAGCTGGAGAGCTCACCTAAATAATTTTAGTAGGCAAGATCAAACAATCTAAGCCACTAGAGCACAAGAAAGTGCAAGGGAGCTCCAACACACACTAATGAAAAGCGGTAACAACTAGCTACGAGCAACACTAGCAAACAACTACACTAAGCACAAGCTCAACAATACAAGCACAATATATAATAATGAAGTAAACTTGTGTTGAGATATGCAAACCACAATGTAGAGGATGACACACGATATTTTTCTTGTGGTTCGGTGACTTGCCGATCACTTAGTCAACATTGAGGCGAGTTCTAGGATTGCCGCTCCTCTTCTTAGCTCCAAAGCCCACAAGCATTGGACTACCCCTCAAGGTAGGATCCAATTGTGAGCACTAAACCTTGACGTGGACCAATCAACTAGACATTCACACAAGCCTCGATTCTACTAGAGATGCTCTTCGCCTTCCTTCGGTGGCGATAAGCTCAATAGCCCCTCACAGAGCCTTCTCTAGAGAACCGCACAATCTTCTTGCATGCTTCACGGAGTCATAGTCATCAAGCTGCCTAGGAACTAGCAAGCTCCAAGAGTAATAAGCAACCAAGCCCGCACGATGGCCACCTAGTGCCACACAATCTCTCATGCAATGATTCGCACTAGTGGTGCACACTCACTCTCCAAAGGTTTCCCTCAAGCAAAGAGTATGATAGGAGGTGCTAGAGAGGTGCTCTTACCAAGTATGTGCACTAAGAAAGACCAAGAGAGCCCCCAGAGCTAGACACCCTACTCTATATAGAGAGGCCTAAAAAACATTGTTAGTGTGCTGAAATGGCATTCCTAGACAGTTCACAGTACAAGTCTTCGGACTATCCGCCGTTCAAGCAAACTAGCTGTTAGGTTCAAAACCCAACCTATGGACTGTCCATAGCCACAGCACAGACTGTCTGCTGTTGAACCACAACAGCCTAAACAGAATGTCCAGTAACTCTTTTCTCAGTAGAAATTAGTCGGTGGACTGTCCGCCATTATAGGCGTGGACTGTTTGCCGTTACCTGGACATCCCACAAACAGATTGCAAAAAATCCATTGCTTTTTCTTAGGTTGACCGGTGGACAGTCCACCGCTGAAAGCTCTAGTTTGGTTTTGGTGAATTGATGAAACCCTAAGTGCTAACCTAGTTTATCTAAGTGATCACGAGATAGGTAGCATTATTCCAAGTGGTGAAGCAATGGTGAAGATCATGATGATGGTGATGGCATGGTGATGATCAAATGCTTGGACTTGAAAAAGAAGAAAGAGAAAAACAAAAAGCTCAAGGCAAAGGTGAAATTTGATAGGAGCTTTTTCGTTTTAGTGATCGAGACACTTAGCTAGTGTGATCACATTTAGGATCGATAGCCGTACTATTAAGAGGGGTGAAACTCGTATCAAAATGCGGTTATCAAAGTGCCACTAGATGCTCTAACTTATTGCATATGCATTTAGGATCTAGTGGAAAGCTAACACCCTTGAAAATATTTGTGAAAATATGCTAACACACGTGCACAAGGTGATACACTTGATGGTTGACACATTTAAGCAAGGGTGGAGAAGTTGGTGAATTGAAGGAGGTGTTTTTTCACTGTCAAACAGTGACCGGACGCTGAGTTCGAAGTGACCAGACGCTGAGTTTGAAGTGACCGGACTCAGGGTTCCAGCGTCCGGTCAATTATAAAAGAAGGTGGTGCTCTCGGGCTCGATTTGCGGTGACCGGACTCGGAGAAGAAAAGTGACCGGACTCCGGCTGAACACTGTTCAGCGTCCGGTCCTACTAACATGGCGGCGCGTAGAGAAGAGGAGGAGCGGACGCACCGGCACATCCAGTCATGGTGGACCGGACGTGTCCGGTCAAGAAAAACCAGCTCTGGTGCCTTACTGGAAACGACCGGACTCCAGTGATGGAGCATCCGGTCACTTTGAGCAGTGCATCTGGTCGCAACTTAACACGTGGCGCGAAGCAGACTAGCCGTTGAGATTGGGTGTTCAACATTTGAAGCTAATGACACATGGCGAACATCAGGCGACCGGACATAGGGGTCCAGCGTCAGGTCAATTTGATCGGCGCGTCTAGTCAGCTCGAATTTCAGAGGACTGAGGAGCCAACGGCTCTATTTCATTGGGGGTTCTATTTAAGGTGTGTGGCTGGCTCTAGCTCATACCCTTAGCCATTTGCATTGACATAGCAACCTTGTGAGCTTAGTTAAAGCCCTCCCATTTATCTCCATCATTGATTCTTCATCTTTATGAGATTAGGAGAGAATCAAAGTGCATTGCTTGAGTGATTGCATCTAGAGGCACTTGGTGTTCGTGTTTCACTGCCGGATTCACTTTGTTACTCTTGGTGGTTGCCACCACCTAGACAGTTTGGAGCAGCGAAGGAGGATTGGCACGAGTTGGTGATTGTTCGTGGCCATCTCCAGGTGATTGTGAGGGGTCTTGTGCCTTCCCCGACAGAGCATCGAAAGGTAACTCTAGTGGATTGCTCATGTCATTGAGTTACCTCACTTGTGGGTAGGTTCTTGCGGTGTCCAATTGTGTGGACGAGGTTCGTGCAACACCTTTTAGCCACCGAACCACCAAGTGTTGGTCGACACAACGGGGATTAGCGTGCCGGCAAGCACGTGAACCTCAGGAGAAAAATTGGTTGTCTCTTTCCCTTTGGTGTTCTCCCGATGATTGAATTGGTATTCATCTTGTGATTGGTTCACTCCTTTACGTGGCGGTATAATCACCCTACTCACTCATTTACATTATTGCAAACTAGTTGTAGCAAGCTCTTTAGTGTAGCTAGAATTGAGAGCTTGCTTTGTAGTTTAAGTTCATCTAGTGGAGCTCTTTAGTATAGCAAGTGTGAGAGTTCTTAGTGAGTAGTGACTTAGCAAATTGTGTGTCTAGTGATCATAGTAACTAGAATTGTTGGATAGGTGGCTTGCAACCCTTGTAGAGCTAGAGTAAGTTTGCATTTCGCTATTTGTCATACTAATCAAATTGCTCTAGTTGGTTTGTAGATTTTTAAATAGGCTATTCACCCCCCCTCTAGCCATATTAGGACCTTACAAGTGGTATCAGAGCCATGGTCACTGTTTGATTGAAGGCTTAACAACCTCGGTGTCAAATTATGGCTCAAGTTATGTTCAACCATGTGGGGGGCAAACCACCGTTCTTTGATGGCACATGCTATGATTATTGAAAGAGAAAGATGAAGATGTATCTTGGTTCAATCAATGATCAAGTATGGGATATGACCGAGAGTGACTATGCTATCATTGATCCCGACAATCTCACCAACCAAGACAAGACCAACAAGCAATGCAATACAATGGCTCTCAACACCATATACAATGCCATTGATTCTAAGGTGTTTGAGCAAATCAAGGATTATGATAGAGTTAATGAGGTGTGGAAGAGATTGGAGGAAACATATGAGGGCACACCAGTCGT